GTTCAATCAGTATAATCAAACACAGCTGGACTCAAATGAAGGTGTAGAACCATCTCAGGGATGATCAGCAGAAATGGACAGCACCTAAGTTAAATATATGAGTGTCACAGCAAAGGGTCTGAATACTTATGACCATGTGATATTTCAGTTTTTCTTTTTTAATAAATCTGCAATAATGTCAAACATTCTGTGTTTTTCTGTCAATATGGGGTGCTGTGTGTACATTAATGAGGAAAAAAATGAACTTAAATGATTTTAGCATATGGCTGCAATATAACAAAGAGTGGAAAATTTAAGGGGGTCTGAATACTTTCTGTACCCACTGTACATCAGGGTGATCTTTAACAGTACCGCTTTTATAATCAGCATAAGGGCAGATAAAGCAGTGACTGCACTGCCAGCTTCAGCAAATGAAAGTGTGGACTAACACCTGAAAAACAAGTAAATAACTGCAAATCAGCCTTTCACTGCTCCTGCAGTTTATGACTTGTCAAACGTGAAAGAGGGAGTGGCACTCCTACACCAATGCTGAGACATTAAAACAGAAGGGTTTTATGTGCTACGGTGTCAGAAACACTTTTATCACTGAGCCACACAGACTTTAACATAGCACTGTCTGTTTAATTAAAAACTCAAGAAACAAGCTTTATGGTAAAATATGCAGCAGCATTTTATTAAAAAAAACTAATAGAATTTTTGTGGGCAAAAAAATTACAAGTTGGATAAAAAAAAAAATTAAAAAAAAGTTAAATACAATCAATATTTCAGCTTCTGAAGCCTGGCTGGTTCACTTGTCCATTTACATAGCCAAGCTACTGGCCCCAAAGTGGAACATGGGCATGTTCTTGCCAATAAAATGGAAAAAGTGGAACCAAACAACACACAATTTCTCTCTTTCACACAGACACACGACCCTCCATCATGCAAAGCCCACTTTATAGCAGCACAGAGTCATACATGACCCTAGGGTTTTTGGGCACATGAGGCCACTAACAGAAAACACACAATCAGGTAGAGGAGCCACAAAATTTGGCCTCTGCATAGAAAACAAAAATGGCAACCACTACAAATAGGTGTGGGTGGTAATTAATGCAAGCATTTGGGTACAAACAAAAAAATAAAATAAAATCTCTCCTGGGCTGCCCCATCCCTAGTGGCCATTGTGTTTTCATCCAGACTGGAGGGTTTAAAAAGTAAGATTCCCATAGGATGGGGCTCAATTAAACTCATTTCATCACCGCCATTGTTTATCCAAACTCAGTCAGTGGATCCTTTACAGCGACCTTAAAAAGGATCTAGATCCAAGTAATCAGTATGACCTTGAAAGAGAAAAATACCATTTCCATCAGTATTTCCACCAGAAATCCATCGTACATAATGTACCAGTGCTGCAGAGGTGGCGGTGTTCAAATTAAACACATCTGTGCTGTATTTCTTCCCTTTGCAGCTATAATGTAAAAATCTAATTATGATTTGGTGCAGTCTTGTCAGTGGCAGTGTTTGCTTCACTAATTTTGAAGGTGGTGTGGGGATGGAGAATGCATCCTTGGTTTGAGTTTTAGTTCTGCAGCATTCCCTTCTTGTTGCTCAGGGGTGGAGTCAGGACGCCTGAGGGAACAGGACAGTTACTGTGGCGCTCCAGTTCCTCATCCTGGTAAGAGTAGGCCTGGTCCTGTACAGAGAAACATGCAGATGAGCTGTGCCAGGGCCATTTCTCTCTGTGCTTTCTGAAAATCTCAGTTTAAGACAGGCTTATCAGCACAGGGCTTAGTGAGAGCTAGAAGTACCCACGTGCATTATGCAAACTCATATACTGTATGTGTATACACACAGAGCAGATTTTTGCAAGCTTTTCCAATTTCCTCCCTGGTTTTTAAACATAATAGAACCAAGAACAATCTTAGTGTTGCCTTCTCACTACAATCATTTCACCTACCAGCCAGGTCAGGTAAGGGGCATGGGATTGGATGTTGTGCATGTCATCTGCAGGGACTCCTGGGAATGTTTTCATAGGTGACCCGCCCAACTCCCGCAGCGCCATGGCAAATGGCACCATCCACCTCGCACACTCCTCTACCTCCACTCCCTTCAAAGCTGTATGGATGAGAGGATGAACAACATGATAAAGTCAGGGCAACACAATAAGAGTAATGCCAGCACTGGGGGAAAAAATAATAAATATATGCAATACTTTCACTCATGCTGAGTTTTTACCTGAGACGTTTTCCACCAGCTCCAGAGAGGAGAAGTGGAAAAGAGATGACGCAGCAAGGATGCCATTAGAAAACTCAAGGCAACCCATATCTAGCATACACAGGTCCAATAACTAGCAGAACCAGAGAAAAACCATCAGTAATTAAATATCACAGCATACAGTACCTCAAAAGGAGTACTACAAATAAGCTACACCAGGTAAGGTATAGGTATAGGACAGCAACAAGTAAATACAGTACCACTGTGTACTGCCTATATCAAGTCATTTGGCTGCTTTGGTGGTGCCATCATCTCCACCTGTGTTAATCAGAATCAACTTTATTGGTCAGGTGTGACGAACACATGAGGAATTTGACTGGTACATCAGCTCTCAATGTGCAAACAGTAAACCAGCATAAGGCTGTGTAATATAACAAAATAGCAGTATTAACATCAACAAACAATGCAGAAGAAGCAGTATAAACAGACAGTAAACAATGCAGACAGCAAAAGACTGTTTATTGAAATTAGATAAATAGGGATAGAACAGAGTACTTAAGAACTAGAGACCTGTACGAATCTGTATAATGTATGTGTATACACACACACACACACACACACACACACACACACACACACAGGTATTGCACTGAGGTTTATTGTCTAATCATACTGTCGTGGGTTAAGTGTTCATCAGAGCGATGAACTATAGTATAGTCACTATAGTTTGTTTCATATTCTCCAACCTCAAACTATGCAAAAATACAACTATTTATAGTCAGTTTCATCTCATTAGCATCTGTTTTCAGCTTGTTCACAACAACTCGCCAAAATTACCATAAGGAGCACAATATGACTGTGTAAACATACACTTCTACAGTCTAAAGCTGAAAAGTGTGCTCTCGCTGAGGACACAGACATCACATTTCTGCAAATTAGTGTTCTGCTTGTTGAACAGGGGACTCAAATCGCTTAATATTGTCTCCATTAAAATTGCTCGTGTTCCTCATGCTGATGTAAAGCACTGTTGTCACTGTCAAACACAGTTGAGAATTGGCTTTGTCCAGCTTGGTTTAAAATCTGCTACACAAAAAAAGTACTTTGTCTGGAAAGAAGTAGTATTGGTGCATCTAGGGATGCAAAGTACCCCTTTTCCAAAAACAAAACGCTAACGAAATCGCAGGATTTATAAATCTATAACATCAAACGGGTGTTTTGATTCATTACTCCACTAAGATACAGCCTCATCTCTGCTCCACTGTGGGTCTGTGAATGCCCCCGACTCCCCATCTCATACAGAGCAGAAAACCAGAGCTCGCAGCCGCCTTCAGTTTTGTCGTAAAGCAGTTCCCTGAACTGCTGAAATTTCTTCTGCTCTGCCTAAGGACCTGCTCAATCAGTGTCTCATTAAAGTAATGCTGTCATTAAGTGATATCTGTGTGTAGCATTGGACCCAACACCCAATAATGGTATCACTACATCTCGAGATATCCCTTCAGTAAACATGGTTTGGAACTAAGAGCAGGTAGGAGGGGGCTCACTGTTTACAAGGGAAGGTACCTCATGTGTACAATCACTCATGACAACTAAGATGTTTCTCAAGTTAAACAATATTGTGTAGACCTTCTTAACGCTGTACATTTCTGTCATTACTCTGTATTAAAATACTCCAAACGGATATCAATGAAGGAAAAATAAATAAAACCCATACGTCCACACAATATCAACAAGCTTACCTCTGCTATCTGTGTGAAAGTAGCCTGGGGGTATCTGGGGACAAGCAGTTCATCTGTCTCTTTCACGTAGGCCACCTGCATGTAAACATTGAGCCAGGAGATGGGAGTTTGTGGACTGAGACTCCACTTCAGCTCCTGTGTTCGAAAAGCGAGAATATGCTTTCTGTAAATCTGTCCAGATGCAAACATTTTCATGGCTCTGGGGTTGTGACAACAGAACAACTCCCTTTTGGACAGACATGCTGCCCACCACTAGTGACTTAGGTAACTAAGGACAATTCATTACAGCATCAGTATGACTCATACTAAGTTCTGCCAAATTCCATCAATGGGGTGACACTGGGTATGTGACGCTTTGACAAATGCAGACCAGTTCACGGTTATGTGTCATGGATCAGTGAGTAATGTGTGTGTTCTTTACCTTCATAATAATGAGTTCCATACTAAGAATCTCATCTTCAGTGCAGGCGTCATCTGTAACATAGGCAAACTGGTAGACCTTGGGAGGATACATCTCCTGGAGAGACAAAAGCACATGGGCATTATTATAACAGCCAATCATATCAACACATAAAATGCTGCAGAACAAAGGGGAAACTAAAGCAAACCCACAACAAAGACACAAGACAGATGGAGAAACTACTGATCATCCCACTGGACACCATAAACAGGCCAACCCTTCTGACCTCGATTTTGGCAGCAATGAAGAGACAGGTGATGCCTATGAGTTGCAGCGTTGATTTGAAGACATTTCTCTGTGTGGCCATGAAGCGATCAAAATAATCCTGAGCGAGGTGGTACGTCTCCCTGTGTAGTTTGTACACCTCACTCACCTAAAACATGCACACAAACACAACATCAGTGCACTGCTATGGCCTCCCATGGCGTCACACCAATAGGTTGGTTTATATGAGTGAACCATGAACATTTAAATGTTAACAGGATACTAAGAAAACCTTCTATTCATTAGAAGCCTTTCTCATGGCAACACTTTGTGGCTATTAATTGGAACAGAACCATCTGCATTCATGTCATTCCTATTTTATATCCTTTTAGTTACTCGCAGAAACATTTTAAAAAAAAAATGCACACCAACTAAAACAGGCTGAATAAATTATTAAATACACAACATTTTGGTCTCTGTGACCTTCATCACATGTCAGTAAACATCTCCTAACTGGATCCAAATCAATGAAGCTGAATCACCTTTGTCAACCACACCCATTAAGTAACAAAACAACGAAATATTTTTACAAAATACAAATAGTAATTCCATGAAGATTCCAAATAAATAGTTAAAAGCAAAAATATAGCTTATAATAGCCAAGAGAGGGCCATAAAAATTGCATATTCCAAAAATACACTTTCAACATTGTGACTGCAATTCTCTCGTGGCCCTACCAAGGGTGGCTTATCTATGTTAACATGCACACTTAGTCTGAAATGTTCAGAAACCTGGATAGGAAGTACACATGCAACAGTATCCCGGGCTTCTCAAAACTGGGGTAAGAGCTTATTTGGGTCTCTGAAATCGGAATATGATGTTAATATGCAGAAACACAATAAACGGGATACTTAAAAAACCCAATCATAACAAAGATATGCATGTATATATTATGCACTCACCGTCTCACTGGCACCTAAAACAACACAAGGGACTGGGTTGTGTTTTAACACAGGGCAAGTGGCAGTGGGAATACAGCCCAGCTGTTTAGGTTTGCAAAGTGCTATACTGAACCAGACCTCAGATTTCTCATCTTTCTGATGAGGTCCCCATTACTTCTATGCAGCCCTTATCTCAAACATAGCAATTTAGTCTTTGATATGAAGAGGGCCCAAAATCAGAAGGCTAAAGCTGATAGTGTCTTTACAGAATGTGATTAGGACAAATTAGTGTGGTTAATCTCCATCAGTACAATAATGGTCATAGTCCACCCCCCCACCTTCCACTGCCACACAAGATACTTTGGGGTATTAAGTGTTTGCATCACAGAAAGTTTAATGCATTTACTTTTTCTTCAAAAGCAATAAGAGAGTCTAGCATCACCCATGTCTTACAGTGGTTTTTCCACTAACAACACTATATTTACATTAAAACTAGTTTTGTGGTCATAAAACTTAATAATGCTCTATAAGGTTCAAGGCCTTTGCAACTTTTATGCTGTCTACAGCTGTTAAGAGAAAGCTTGAGAGCAAATTTAAACACAATGTGCAAAGCAGATTGTTATAAATGTAGCCTTTACTTTTTTCCTTCACAATTACAACTGAAATGACCAAAATGAAAGTTATTAAATGCACGGTTTACAGCAGTGATGACAAAAGAGATGCTACCCTGGTCACCGAGACATGCTACAGACCTCCATGAGCCAGTCCAGAAGAACTGCCCTCATCTTGGGCTGCAGATGAGGATGTTTCTCCATCATGTGGATATCCCTGGTGTAGGTCTTATCCTTCGCCAACATGTTTCTCCATACCACATCTTTACTGGCCCAGCTAATCAATAATGATAAAAAAAGATTAACACAATGTTTAAAAAAACAAAACCTACACAATTCAACTTTTGACTGCCTCCTTGCTGTGCAATATGTGCAAAGCTGTGTTACTTGCATTTAAAGTATAGCATTCCCTGGGTAAGTTCAAAAATCAGCTCAGAGACTGTGTGAACACTGTCTTGTTCCTATAGGGCTGTACAGGGCTCATTTAGGAAGATAGTGATTCAAAGGTGAAGGAGACACAGGATTAGTTGATAACAAGTTAAGCCAAGGCCTGCTACCTTACAGATGAGACATGCTAAACAGAAAACCAATCAGAATCATCTTACTAGAGTATTATTCCATCACAAAACCCCACAACAGCCTGAGTGCTCTGCAGCATAAACTCTCCCAATCTTAAAAAAAAAATTCACCTGGAGATATGAACTGCATTGTTCAGATAGTCCCTCATTTTAGTTTTGGTAATGGGGAGAACACTGTCCAGCATGTTGTTCCAAAACTCCTTATCAGCTGTGAACTAATTAATTCAGATCTTGACTTTAATTTGCCACCCATCTACTAAGACAAGAGAGAGTGGCTGCAAGATATGGAGACAATAAGCCCCACAACAGCAGTACTCACCACAGAGTGGGGAGTGGCGAACAGTGTGTGGGGGTTACAAATATGCTGTTAAAGCTGTAGTTGGGGAAGCCTGCGTTTATCAAGGAAACTGGTTGGTCCTCTTCCGGATCCGGTGTGGGGATCCACCTGTGTGTATAACCAGCATCAGGACTCCAGCCCAACTTCATAAGAGAGGAAAAATGAGGGGGTAAGGTCACAGTTAAAGCATATGTAACAGCAGTTGAGACTCAACTAGCAGGCCATGGAGTGTTTCTGCTGGTAACATTCAAACGTGGCAGCCCACCAAGGCAAAAAAATAAAAAATTATTTAATCAAGTGCCTCAGTGACATGGCCAGGAAGCCCATAAAACAACAGGTCAAATCACATACACGGATACATAAGGCCAATTCAGACAGAGCACAGTTTTATACGCCTTTTTTATGCAACAGATAGAACTCCATTTTATGAAATGTCTCCCCAACACATGCATCGCTGGTTTTATTGCTTCAGGTCTATTTTTTCTAGTGCACTGAGTGCAGTGTAATCTCCACACCCAAGTCCCATCTTTTTTCTCTTTTGCAAACTTTTTTATTTTAATCTTTCTTTTTACTGTTGTCTGTTATGATTATATGCACAAGGCCTACATGAAAACTATTGTTGTCCAGCACATTTCTGCTGACGGTCAGACCGGTGAAAACTGGTGTCTGTCCACTGTCCTTGCAGCTGACATCAAATCAAATCAAATTTTATTTGTATAGCGCCAAATCACAACAAAAGTCATCTCAGGACACTTTACAAAGTAAGGTCTAGACCTTACTCTTATCAATATTATTACATAGGGAAAACCCAACAAATCCCCCTTGAGCAAGCACTTGGCGACAGTGGGGAGGAAAAACTCCCTTTAACGGAAGAAA